CATCATAATGTAAACATAATACGTAACGTAATCAGTAATCTACTTCTCCGATAGCTCCGCAGAAAGTTCTTCCGCATCGCATTGTGCATAATTATTGGATATGTATTCTACGGTATTCCAATTTGCGACTAAAAGAGCCTCCTTAGAGCTTGCGCGCAAAACTCTAATATCACATTTGCATCTATAAACGTTTGTATATTTTTAATCCTGTCGAGATGTAACTGCAAGCTGGAATGGCAAGATCAATATAAAAATTCAATGTTGTTCAAAGATGTCGTCAAAGGATATCAGAAAATTCGTGAGGCCGATCAATTTCGTGGCATGCTTATGGACGGTACCGTTTGCTTCGCGCGTTCGTAGAACTTGCAAAAATATACGGAATAATTTGCCGTACAGTAATGATGTACGAAAAATCAGAGATTTTTTGATGCACATTAAAATACTGTTTACAATCTCTTATTTAAAAGATTTAAAAAATTTGGGAACATTCTTCTTTCGCTTCTGAAGCTCGTGGTGGTTTCAATCGCATATAATAAGTATTATACCGTTATGCAAAAATACCAGTCGACTCATCAGTCGTTTAATCGACTTGGGCTTGTTTCATATGTTTAATTAGACTGACGTCTGAACGATTGTCGTATCTCCCCTGAGTCATATCTCTCACCTTGAGACAATAATATTTTACTCGAAAGATAGAGCAAGAATAAACGAAATATAGAAAGACGTTTGTGTTCAGCAATCATTCTACGGTTCTAGAGTGTTGGATTTTGGTGTCATCTCTAGCCTCCGTTCGGAGACCGCGTTTTAGCAAATTAATTGCGACCTATTTTGTGACCGCGATCGCCGTCGTCCGATGAAAGGGGGAGAGGAACGCGATTCGGACGAACCGCTCTCTCGAGCCTGCTCGTTTCTTTCAAAATATCACCTCTGCTTTGCAGTTTCGCCGGAGCGCTCAGCAGTTCGTAACGACGATTTACTAGAAAGTCGCGCGTGTTTTCAACGTCGAGCGCGGCGAGGTGAATGACGCACTCCCATCCCGCGAAGCACGATGATTAAAATACAACATACAAAGAGCGAATTTTACGCGAATGTATGAATCGAAGAAGAATGCTTTTTAAACCGTCGCGTCCGTCGACGAGCGAGCGATTGCAGTTTCCGAGGAAGCCCGATAAATTCTACCGCGCGGTGAAAATACACGTTTCGCGTTCGTTTTGTACGGGCAATGTCATCGGATGCGGGGAAAAAAAAATACGGAGCGTCGCTGTGACTCATTCCGAGTCAACGTTGACCCTCTTGTTAGTGCCGCCACCCTACATCGCCAGCGATCCCCATGTATCTTTGTTCCCTCCGTTTCTTTCTCCTTGTTTCTCGTCGTGTGCGAGCTTCCTTTTACCAAATCAGATCGATCGTATCGTACACCGGGATTTCGTCGGTGTCAAGTGACACGGTAGAAATGGTCCTTACTCTCTCTCTCTTTCTCTTTTTCTCTTCTCCGGTTATTAACGTCGTAAAAACAGCCACTTTACATGTTCCCATTCTGATCAAATCTCTCGCGCGCGTGCTGTATCTTCCATATAGACATTTTCTCGCGATATCGCAATAAAATAAATAAGAACCCAAGTGGTATATCTTTCTATTTCCATTTAAGAATCTTCCTGTTCCAACCCAAGTGTTTTAATTCTCCTTAACAAAATAATAAAAATAGGTAACTTTAATTCTCCTTAACAAAATTATTACAAATTTGCGTTACTTTATTCGACTCAAGTAATATGTATTTAAAAAAATGTATAACAATTTTTTACAGAGACATTTTTCCGCGATATCGCAATACTATCTGAGGTATTTACTTCAATTCAATATCATACGCGGCTCGACTTGGCGTGTCCGCATCTCATTTGAATTCGTTGAACTCTAGTGTCGCGACGGTCATTGAATCGCATGTTTTGAAAATTCCGCGACACTGCGGTAAATGGATAAACGCATACGGGACATTTCGTTACACGCCAATTGTCGGGAATCGATTTCGCTCGGGCGTAAATGTGGCGATTCTTATCGCGCTGCCGTATCACACGTCGCGATGAGCCGCGACGTGAACGTTAATTTACACAATCAAAGGACTCATCTTGTATTCGTTATCTGCCTTTCCGTCAGAGAAATCTATCATTGGGAATTTATTATTCGTGCCCGTATCAAGAGACCACGTCTTGCGCAAAGTCACGTGCAGCGCTACGACACATTGTTAATTTTAAGCGCTTTAGCCTTGCAATTAGTACAAAAGCGTTTTCACTCCGTTTTCCGCGGCATTCGTGGCGTATTGTGCGCCGTCATTTCTCGCACCGTCCCTTATTTCACTATAATTACTAATCGACTCGTAACATTGTAAATTGGCTTGCGGGCGCGCGTTATGGTGTTAATAAAGTAATTATGCGAAAGCGTAACACTTCCCATATCCTAGAGAATAGTTCTCCACCAATTTAGCAGATAATTTAGTTCATGACAATATGAGATAAGAAATTTAATAGGAAGAAAAAGATCGTAATATCAATTAATAAATCAATCCAGAGTCTCGGCTTCATATAAAATTTTTTCTCGTTAATAAAGATTATTATTATTATTAAAGAAAAAGATCTCGTGTGTAATATTTTATTTTGACAAGTAAATTTTTGAACGTTTTATTTCGCAACAAGCGATATATTCTACGTGAGTTAAACGTGCGGGAAATGGAGAGGGGGGAAGGAGAGTAAGAAACTATACGCTTTCGTGTGCTACATTGATGTAACGTTAATATACAAAGTTATCACTCTCGGAATCCTTTATTTCAATTCAGCCAATTGTTAGAAACGTGCGATTTTGCGACATATTGCACCGCAATTTTTTTTTTCTTAAATCGCAATGCGATATGCAATTGGATTTTTAATCGCAGCTCAAAATCGCACTTGTAATGAAGTATTTATTCATTAAATATTTATATGGGGAAAATGGTAAAACAAAATGATTTAAATATGTTATGGAATGCACGTTTGGTTCCGATTATTAAATGCTTCTTTTTAACACTGGACACGGTTTAACTGATCTATTTAAAATTTCTTCCTCTTTATTAATTCGTAAAAATTTTATATTATAGAATGTAATATTTAATGACGTAGAACTAAGGAAATAAACTTAAAATTATTATGGACATGCACCAATTTTTATTTACGGCAAGATAATAAAAGAAATATATGGAAAAAATATATTTTTTCATGTTGTGATTAAATTAACATTTTCATATGTTCATAAATAGTTTAATATTTAAATTTAAAATGATACTTGCGACAGTTGCGACATAAAATGACACGTGATTCAAAGTTGAGTTTACGATACAAAATTACACGCAATTCAAAATATAAGATGAAAAAAATCTTAAAGAAGACGTGCAAACGCGATGCACAATTTTGTTGAATCGCACCGATCTCTACCGATTGATACGGCTCAGCATATGGCGAGCAACACCCAGCTCGCCGGAATCTGTAGCGCGGAAGCGCGAGGAGCAGCTCGAAAGGGTATCTACTCCGGATTCAAATTGAATAAAGTCGCGGGGATGCGTCGACTTTCGCTGGAGAAACCCGTATAGGATATTTGGACGCTTTCCAGCATGCCTTGGCGCGCGACCGCTCCCGTAGGCGCGCGATTACGCGAAAACCACGACAATTCGTTCCTCGCAACGTGCGTGTGTAACATACATACGTACGCGATGCCGCGCGCGCGTACAAGTCGTACACACGGTACAAGTGTTATCATGTGTGTATGCACCTCGCGCCGTGCGAAATTTTCACGAAACAGGTGGCAACAGCGCTCTCGGCCGAAGTCGAGCCGCGGTCCGCGGTGAGAACGAGAGAGAGAGAGAGAGAGAGGGAAAAGAGCGCACGCGTTCGATCGGCACAAGATGGGATGAGAGGCGAAAGAAAGAGAAAATAGAATCTATTCGATGATCGTGAAAGACTCTCGTAACGTCCCGCGAATTTAAGAGAATTGTACATTGAAAGTAAATCAAAATGATATACATATACCGAAAAAAATAGAGAGCAAAAAAATATGAGATACACAAAGAGAGATGAGAGAGAAACGCACGACAAAGTAGAGAGGGAGGGAGGCACAGCTAAGATAGAGATAACAAACATAGCGTGAGGATGACGAGGAAATGTACGGAGCAAATCGCGCAATCGCGATCGGAGGACATGAGCGACGGTAATCCAGTAATCACCTTAGGCCTGTAAAACCATTTTCTGATGGACTCCATCATATCGCGCCGCGGCTGACGTCATCAGAGTACGCTGACGGAAATCGTCGTCACTGCGCCCGCCGCGATCGAGGCGATGTTGACGTCGATATTGATGTCGATGTTGACACTGACATGTCGCCTCCGGAGCGGGCTTTAGCCAGGGGATTTGGCTGACGAGTCGAAGCAACGTCGAACGATGAATGATGACAGCGACGGCGCTGATGGTGACACTGCCGATGACACTGACGATAACACTGACGATGACACTGGCGATGATGCTGACGATGTCACTGACGACACTGACGACACTATCGTCGACGACGACGACGACGGCGATGCGATACGATCTGTGTGTACGAGCATCGATGATGATGATAATGATGATAATAATGATAACGATAATAACGATGTCAGCGACTGCGACAGTTACAGCAGCGACAGCAACAGCTACAGCAACGGCGAAAGTGACGATTATGATAGCGTCGACGACGACGACGACGACGACGACGACGACGACGACGACGACGACGTCGACGGCGACGACGACGGCGACGGCGACGGCGACGGCGACGACGACGACGACGACGACGACGACGACGGCGACGGCGACGGCGACGGCAACGGCGACGGCGACGGCGACGGCGACGACGACGGCGGCGACGGCGACGGCGACGGCGACGGCAACGGCGACAGCGACGGCGACAGCAGAGGCGACGACGATTTCGCGACCCGCCTGTGGTACTCACTCGCGAAAACGCATGTCAACCGAAACGCGCGTTCGTAAAACTAAGGTGACAAGCGTGAGCGTGAGACACGGTCCGCAAAAAGACATAACTGCTTACCGCGCCGCGCGCGTGCGTTTGACGCAACAATCGTGATCGTGAAGCGATGAAGCGCCGCCAGTCGCGTTAACGGTTCAGCTTTCGAACTATATGTATAAAGAGCGGCAGATACAAACTGCTTTCATTCTTTATTTATGAGACTTCACATACGAATTTTATTTCGATAAACTGATATTTACAGATAGATGTAAAAATTAGTACAAATATAACATAACAGAGATATAATTCATATATTTTTGCATGAATATATAATTTCATATACAATAAAAAAAAATATGCACTAAAACTCAACACAATATTTTATATTTAAAATTGAAAACAAAATAACTAAAACATATTTTTAGTTTAATTTAATTTTGCCATGTATTTTACAATATAGCTTAACGTATATTCTTTTAAACATTGAATATTGAATAATAAAAATATTTAATCTGAATTAGAGTAAGAAGAAAGAAAAATAGAATAAGGAAATAATTAATTATTAAAAATAAGAAATAAATAAAGAAAGATTACTTATTATTCTTCTTGTTATACATATTGAATTTTTACTAATGTCCCTTCCGATGAAATGTCCCGCGTTAAAAGTTATCGACCTAGCGTCGATAAGTCAAGCCGCTACTATGACCTATCAATACATACATACGTCAAGTATATGTATATGTAGTACAGATCTCGATAATAGGTGCTTTCCATTTACATCAAAACTCAGATAATTCTCACTTGTGACGTCGTTCTATCCTTTTTGGCAATTAATAAATAATAAAGATAAAATGACGTCACAAGTGAGAATTATCTGAGTTTTGATGTAAGTGGAAATCAACTAATATATTTGATTTTTATTCGATTTTAAAAATTACGATTTTATTGTTATCCAGATTTGAGTATCCATGTGAGTGACAATTATAAAAAAAAATGTAGTTTTGCGACAATATATGATATTATGATGTAAATATATGTAGTTTATATTAATATATGTAAATATATTATTTATAAGGTATCCGTATAATGATAAACCACGAATTTAATATTTGCGATAAGAGCTATAAGAGTCGCCAAGTACACGCGCACCAGTATTAGAAAACTGTTATATATTGAAAAACTGTTGTACTCAATCAATCAAATTATATCTAATCAAAAATATAAAATATTCGTGCATTGCGACATAAATAGTGTTGATTTCTGTAAAAAAAATTTTTAGGTGAATAAACGTTTTAAAAAATTATACATTTTATGAGACTCATTTAATCACATATCAGAAAAGACCGAAAAGGATTTTAAAAGAAATTTAAAAATGTAGATATTTCCCCTATAGTAATAAAAAAAGGAATAAAGATTAAATTAGTTTTGCCCTATGATTTTGCAGCAACACTCTCCCTTTTAAAAGCTAACTAACAATAATAATAAGTCATTTGTATCTTGTTTAGCCGTGTCAAACAAACAGACAAATAATACTTGAAATTATTATTACAGCATATAGATATAATATATATATTTTACAAAGCTAGAATTTCGAGGTATTCTCCGTAACTTTAGAATGACGCAAATCTCTAAAATAACTTTCTACACATCGTCACGCCCGTAATTATCTAATCACACGAAACAGTTGCTCGTTCCGATTTAACAAACCGCGTTTTAAGTATCCCTATGCTTTTGATGAAAGCATAGGGATACTTAAAGTTAGGTCAATTTTCGCACAATGTCTACTAATATTAATTACCATATAATGACCGGTCTTATTGTATATGCCGCCGTCTAGGAATTAATCTAATCTTTTGACTCCCGACATCGATATTATTTCAGTATACGAGACATAGTATGCTGGAGCGTATATAAAGCTCCTTCTCGATCAGATCGAGAGGAACACTTTCAGCAAGATCTCCTACGAGAACGTATCGTTCCAGCAACGACAAACGAAATTCATCAAGGTACGTATATATCTCGCTTTTCCCATTACCATAATTAAATTGAGAATTATTTATTTAAAATTAGATTTTAAGACAAAAATTTTTGAAATTTTTACTTCAATTGTGTTTTTTTTTCTTTTCTTTTGAAAGATTTTATACTTGCAGCAAATGTTGATTTTATGCGAGAAATACCTGCTTTATCCGTTATAGATACCGTATTCTATGTGCGTTAATTGAAATCAGGATGAGACGTTTACGTGTACAATATAATATCGGATCAGCATAAATAATAATATTTCTATATTAGTATTATAAATATCTTTTATGTCATTGTGTACAGTTAATTAATTAATAAATTATAACTAAAATCCAATTTCTAGGCTAAAACTATTTTTTTATTTTTTTAGGACTATTTGTGAAAATATAGTTCAAAAAATTAATTAATTAATCAATTAATTTATAATAATTTACATTGCTTATATACGTCTATACATATAAGAAAGATTCGCGTAAACATAACGTAAGCAATACGTAACAACAATTCATGTAGATGCAATCTTGAAATTTACGACACAACGCTGATTGAAATCTTCTTTATTTTTATCGACATTTAATATAACGGCAACAAGAGGTAGAGAAGTTAAAGACATGTAAAAAAGTGTAAGGTAAAACATGAAGACATAGGAAATCTAAGGATACTTCAATAGATGGCGCGGCATTTCCGATTTACATCCCCAGACTTCTTTGTTTATAGTCGCTTACCAGCAGTGCGAATACATGTGCATGTAGGAAACATTTAATGATGCTCGGTTTTACTTCTGTCTCTTTCTATCACATACGCATACGACATAATATCATAATGAGCAGTCTTGTAGTATACAATTCAACGATTTTGCCGATTAAATTAATCGTCAATTAAGTTAATCAGAGCTTAGTTGAAGTCGCATTTAATTTTTCCTACGAAGAAATTATACAAGATCTTTATTATCCAATTTCGATGAGCTTTGGATAAATAAAAATGAAAGATATATTATATATTTTTTTAAGTGTTCTATGTTCAAATTTTTAAAGGTATTATGTTTTTTTAACATCTTCACAAATTCACTCATTTTAAGAATATAAAGTATTTCATATACGTATACTTTATTAAATTTGTCTCCAAATAAATACTAATTTATTTAAAAAAATGATTCTTAAATTCTCACAAATGGTAGATAGAGATATTTTTAAAAATATAACATTATTAATTAAATATGTGAAATATAATAAAATTATAAAATTTAAATACATTTTTATTAAGTACCATTAAGTAGCATCTCTCGTCTATTTTTATTACTGCATCTAAATTTAAGAAGCTTTTTTTTACAAGAAAAAATTTTTTTACAGAGAAATTTGAAGGAAAATAGTATTTTTTGCTCATATTGTCATGTTACTTTCTAAATAAAGTCAGTTTCGTTACGCAGATGCCGTTTAACGAAGGAATTCAATCGCTGTCGTAAATTACAGATCCGCGCGTATCGTGGGAAGATCGAATAATACGAATATAGATATAGAAGTATCAATAGAGAAAATTACACATAATGGACATATAGACTTATGGGAATGCGTAGAAACGGAACAACCCGGTTACACGAAGCTAATGGATTACGAAACGTACGACAAATTGCCCGTCAGCGTGAAATGGAAAATCCACGATATATCGTACCTTCGACGCAACGGCAAAATAAATTGCTTTCCTGACATTTTCTAATTTCGTTCCACGAAACGCACACGGCGCTTTAATGCGTATTCGGCGAAAATTCCAGGCGTTAAGAGATAATTATTCTCCGTGATCGGATATAGGATATAGCAATCCTGTTTAATTAATTCCTAACGTACATCCAGTTTGTCGATCGCCGTGCTCTGCGGCATAACGATGAAGAAACGATGACGCCACAAAAAGATAAACTTTGCTTTTTGGAGTAACATCTAATCCTTATCTACGACTCTTGCTTGCCGATAAGTGAAAGAAATGTTAATGTACATGTTCGGAAATTACGGAAAATAATTTTTTCGATAATGACGCTGTTGCGCCATTTTTTTAAATTGCTCATGCACAATTCCTCTTTTTATTTCGCCACAAATTAAACATCGGTTAATATTATTGGCGAACGCGATGCACCGCGTGCCTCGCCAGGCACAACGCAGCAACTCAAACGCGGCTGGGATGCTTCATCCCTACATGCTAACGGAGATGCTGGTCACGTCTTTTATCCGCTCGGACACTTAGTAGCACTTACGCTTATCTTAATGACCAGGGACGCTCGTAGCGTTAATGGTCCTCTTAAAATTAGCGCGCGGAACAAAAGTCGAGCGCGCGCTAAAAATTTTCGAGAAATGCCGGTTTGCCCGCGGTACTACACGAGTCGTTAATCGTCAGCAGTTTTTTTTTTTATAAATATGAGAGTTTAAAGAGATCGATGTAAACACGCGGCCTGCAAGAGTTTTGCAATTATCGTAATGGCCGATACCTGAACCTTTATGTGTCGGTTAATTGTAAACGAAAGGATATTTCTCGAATAGCTTATTGGCTTATTGGATGTAATTTATTTTATCTACAAGAGTATCCTGGAAAATACAAAGTAAGAAAATAATTGCCGATAAAATACGCGAAATGTCATTTCGCCGCATTGCGTTGTTTATATCGTTTGCATCATCGTTATTATTACAGCGATCGGCATTCCGGTGGTTTATCATTTCAAAAATGATATCCCTATAAAGAAACGGGCAATGGTGGCGAGCGTTAAACTTGCGATCGCGCAATTTTAAGTTGCACGGCTTCGATACGGATCGTTGCCTCGTCAATTCTACCGTGACAGTTAGATAGCCTATTGTTTTTCCCCCTTCGCACTAGTTTCACATTATAAACGCGAGCGCGCAGATTTCCTCTTCCTCTCTTAACAACGAATCGAGCGATTTCATTACAATTGCATGAGATTCCCAGAGATTCGAGACGGCAAAAAGATTTCCGCTAAGCTGCCGATATTAGAAAACTTGTAATTATTCCAGTGACAAGTTGCTTGTCTTTGATAGTAATTGATAGCCTATATATATAATCCTCTTGGAGTTTGGAGCAGCTCCGGAAATCGGTAGAATGTAAATTCCGCTTAGCAAAAGTGAAGGACTGTTTTAATAATACCCGTCGAATTATTCAGGCGTCGCTCATGGCGAGCTAATTAACGTTTGAAAATCATTAGTCGTTCTTTTGAAAGCTGCCAATAAGTGTCGAGTCGTTCGTCCTTGCGCAATTATTTAGCGGGCTAGCTAATACGGCGAACGTTTAAAGAAGAATGCACCGCACGATTAACCGATTGTCCTCATTATGTCTCTCATTTTTTTTTGTTTCTATCTGTTGTATTATTTTCATGGATGAAACATTCTCTCCACACATCGTTTTTACCTTTCGCAGATGAGCAAGAAATGCGCACTCGTCGTTTTCGTCCTGTCGTTGGTCGTAAGCTCCGTTCTTTGCCAAACCTTCCAGTACAGTCGTGGATGGACCAACGGCAAGAGGTCCGAGTTCCAGAACTCATTGGGTGTCCCCAATCCGGGGGACGAACATTTCACCAACGGCGAACTCAAGAGACTGAAGATGCTGGTATACGGGAATGATGAACAAGTAAGCTTTGGAACGACGACGGAGGAACAATACATAGTAACACATTTGCTGAATGATTAATTTTGATATTAAAAAAGAGAATTGTTATTTAAACAAAGATAAACGTTTCGGCAAATAGTGTTGTACATTAAGGTTTTAACATTGAAATTTAGATTAATCTGTTAATATCTTTTCCACAGCCGCTGTTGATCCACTGTGATTTTGTGGACAAACTGAAAAAACTCGTTCACACGGATAATTATGCCTCTCAGCTGCGACAGAAGGGACCGAACGATGACAGTTACTAAAGCGGATACTCGGCGTGATGGTCGTCACATAATAATCACGATTGTTTCAAAGAAGTATTTAACGTATAATTTTAGAGGTGCTTTCGTAGTTTTAGTTAAATCAAAATAAATTATTAATGCACACGAATCTTTGTTCCAATGATAATGCACAATCAGAACCGTCATATCCCTATTTCATATGTGAATCATCATATCCTCTCGCGACGCTCACATCTCGGAAGAAAAAAATTAAGTACAGTCAATAAATCGTGATGTTGGAGCTGCTGGAATTATATTTGTACGATTATCAGCGCATTTCTTCGAGTTTGTTACTCGACTCGTGACGGTTAATTAAGTTTCGCTCTCTTAATTGGACAGTCGGTCGATGGAACAGATCGCGGACGGTCGCTGCTGGGTATTCGACATTGGAGAGGGGAGGGGGATTTTGTCTGTCAACGGAAGATGGAGTGAAACCATGTCGAATGGAGACACCCGCTGAGTCCGTGGATTATCCCTACGGACAACTTATCTTCCCGGCTGCAATACGGCACTCGCCTGGCTCTCCCGGAGTATCAGACGCCAGCGATAAGGATCGTTTGAACGAAATAACAGATTAATTTTTTATCGAATCTACGATTTCGGTTAGCGCCGCTTTCACTCGGATTTCGCGCATTAACATCTCGACGCTCCGGAAAATATCGGAGCTATAATAGCGCTCGTTTAGAAGCGTTCCGAAAATCGTGACACGTCTCACCGTCGGTGATAATCAGCGCCGTTTCAATTAAAGATCAAAGATCGGCGTCGATTTTCGGCCGAAGCCTGGTGGCACTCAAGATTATTGGTCGACGACGTCGACGGGGTGTAACTATTGCACACGGCTAATGCGCTTAAAACTTAGCTGTTAATCAGAAACCAATTACGGGAGGCGGGACAAAATGAGTTTAATCGCATTAAATATTAAAACGTTCTGACGATACCGTCGCGCGCGCGCGCGTGTGTGCTTGTTCGGTGTATACCCGGTGTCTCCGTCGTGTACGCACGAGTCAGTCATCACGGGGTGGCACACACCAGCACGTGCCACGACTGGCTTCAGCCATTTTCCTGTCTTAATACCCACGGGAGTGGCCGACCGGCAACCCACCGTGCACCCTCCGCGAATACCTTGCATCGAATCTTGAAACCATGCGATACCATGACGATCCAAATGTCGCAATAGTCGGGTTTTCCGACACAGATCCTTCGTCGAGACGATTTTTTGTTTGTTGAACGGAGAACGAACGGAGGCGAGTCTTCGAGAAATTCTCTTAACAGTAACTCATATAAAAAGCGCGACATAAAATATTCATCTGTTCGCTTCTATTTTTAACATAATGTCTCGCGAAATGATCGTCGCGATAAAAATATGCATCGCAAAATTATACCCCCCCTTATATATCGCGACGATAAAGGCTTTGATAGCCGGCAACTTTCTCAGTCTCGTAAAATAAATAGTGACGATCGCGAAATACAACCTGTCGAGGAATAATGTAAGACCTGATGGAACCTCGTTGAATATATGAACTGTAACGTGAATGATGTACGACCCATCCCTACATATGTCCCTTGCAAGTTTCAACATAAATGCCACATATGAGAAATGATATTTTTCACATGGAATTGGAAATCGAGCGTGATTGACCATAATTATATCATTATCATGACGTAAGAAGAAGAAGAGAGTTTCGAACGTACCGTACAACGATTTGAAGTTATCGAACTACATCGAAGATTATAGCTACATTATCGTTTTCGAAAGGTTTCGCGGGATTAATCTCATTTACGGAATTACGCTCGTCTGCGAAATTTCGCGCCGTTGCTCTTGCCGGGATGGCATGGCACAAGTACGAGCTGCGAAACGAAACGAAACGAAACGAATTCCTATTAGCGATAGAGAAACAGAAAACGTCGGCGCGGTGAAAAGCGGGACCGACGGGCCGGTATAAATACATAAAATCGGGCAATCATCCTAAATGGGCGCTTCGCTACCGGATCAGGAGCGGCTGTCGCCTTTTTCAAGCTGTCGTCTGTCGCCTGTCGTTTGTCGCGCGACAAGGGAGCGCGCAATTCCAGTGCCACGTAGTTGAAAACGAAAAAGCGTGGAACGACGGAAAAGCGTTTGACAAGTACAATTTCCGTCTCGGGCACGTCACGCTCGCTCGGTGCTTTTATTACTTTCGCTCGTGTCCCCCACCCCTTCAACCGTCCTCCTCGCGAGACACGTTAACGTTTATCGTATTGTCTTGTGAGCATCGGGATGAGATATTAATTCATATTATACGATATTCTCTTTTGTAGGGACAACATTAACCGTTATATAGAGAATCGTGAAGATACTAAAGATTGGTTTATACAATTAGGAAGAAACGAGGAAGAAATAACAGATAAAATATGTAACGACGAATTAGATAGGGTTAAAGGAACGGTGTGGAAACAATTGTGGAAAGAGCAGGGGGCTAGAGTAAGGAAGAGTAGATAGAAATGAATATTTTGTATGAAAAGAAAGAGTGTGTTTTAAGTTATTTATAAAGTCCATTTCTTGTGTGTGTGTGTGTGTGTGGCGTAAGCAGAAGTTAATAAAGATTGATTGATTCATTCATCGACATTCACTCTTTTAGCGTCAAATTATTTTCAAGCGTCAAGAAATAATTTTCTATTAATATTACGTTCTATTTCTTTGCATTGTGCGATTTATGACGTGCACCTTACACTTTTACTCTCTTAAGCAGGCGACCTTCGTAGGGCGAACAACGTTACCTCCGTCCCTAGCGTTTCTACGATGACCTAGGAACGAACAGACGTGATCCGCCGTCTGTCTGGCGGCGTTCATCCGAAAAAAAAAAGAAAGCGGTTTCGATTTTAACACGGCTCGGCCGTGGTTCCCGCAGCGGCGAAACCGCAAACGATCGGAAATAGAGAAACTGCCTCGCAAGATAGTTGCGGGAGGGACCCGTTTTACGGGCAGGAAATGAACGGTGCTTCGACACTGTGTTTTAGGAAACGCGCACGAGGCACTTAACCGTCATGAAAATTGATCGCCCTCGTGCGCCCGGATCAAAATACCACCCAACTAGGTGTTGCGCCGTTCCCCGAAACGGAACCGGAATACTTTCCCTACCGGAAGATCGAAGTCGAAACAATAATTTTATTCTTCTCGGAACAGCGCCGTCCTTCCTCCCCTCCCCGTAAAACGACGATCCCTGCTCCTACATCCTACATCTAGCGTTGTATGGAGAAATACATTTTTTTTTACAAATCTGTCATTTATAGAGAATTTTTTTCGACCAGGTCTCTGTCAGTAAATTCATCTGAGCTCGACTGGCGATTTAAGACAGATGCTATTCGCGTTATTTCGAAATTATCCGAAAATCGTGGATATAACGTTATTGCTATCCTCGC